GAGACTACGGATTCAATATTTTCTGGCCGTTCATCAACATAAATATGAACTAAACCAGCTTGTCACCAACCAGTAGCCTACATCCAAAGCAGTGGAAGATTGTGAAAAGGACAACTTGGCAGATCGATGTGGACCAGAGCATGGATCCGGAGGTATGTTTGGCTGACTGATTCTTGGCAGACTGCTTCCTTCCCTTTTTGCCATCAGAATCATTGGGACGTATGCTGGAACTGGAAGTGGAACTGGAACTCAGAGAGCTAGCGGAACTGGTCTAGTGAGGTCGACAGTCCAATGTTTCTTGGTGAAGTGTGGGTCAGCTGGGACCGCAGCGCTTGGCATACTCTGGGAATTCGCTGGTCATTCGTTGTGTAAGCTCAGCATTCGTTGGATAGACGCTACGCATGTCAAACGAATGTATACAAAATATTTGGCTCTTAAACATCATGAGAGAGAAACGAAAAATCAAGATAAAAAATCAAGCCTTTTAGGGGTAGGTAAATTAAGGCCCGCCCCAATTTTTTGCAGCCCTTTTTTTTCTCGTATCACCATTGCCCCCCCCCCCCCGAGATAGAGAGAGAGAGAGGGAGAGAGAGAGAAAGCACATTGGTGGCGGTTACTAGAAATCACGTTCGTATGAAAAGAAACAAATAGTAAAGAAATTATTAGGGAAAAGTTTGCCCTTTCCCAAGTAGGAGAGTTCGTTTTCCCCAAAATAAATCAGGGGAAATGCCCATAAGGACAGCATGAATATACAAATCTTGATATATTATGAGAGAAATAGTTGACCTTTTGTATTTGTTACACCCTATTGATCATCATAAATTTCATCATTCATATCATTTTCCCTGGCAATTTTTTTTTGTTTGGCATCCTTTGCGAATAATATGGGGTGAGTTACCTGGTTTAGCGCAAATCAAATTCAGATCAATTCCCTTCATCTCAGTACGATCTGCCAATGGATGATCATGTGTAGTCTCTCAGGCACCATTTGGATGACGTCATCGGAATCTAGTGATGTCATTGTGGGACAAGTCACATCGGATATCATGGGGCAGGTGACGTCATCATCCGCCAGTGCTGCATGGAATGTAATCCAATTAAAGTACAACATGCATAAGAAAATTTCATAGGTCTTTCTTAAATGGAAACACTAAACATATCCAGACTACGGTGAAAATACGGGTGTCAACATTTCCGTCTTGACATATTACAATCAACCCACATGAAGGTTTAGCACACCCTGACAACAAAATCAACCAAGTAAAACAAAAAATACATACAATAACCTACTTTACAGTCAAGGTATTACATGCACTTGAACAAAATCAACTAAACTGAACTGAACTAAACGACTTGTTAAAGGCTCGAGGTCCCTCCCCCCCCCCCCCAAGCAAATGTCAGGATACGCCACTGTGTGATGCCAATGTGACTACTGGTATAATCTTAATTTTGCAGCATTTTCTAAGAAAACATTCTCACTCGGACAGATTATTATTTGTCTGCGGTACGATTGTATAGCAGACAAATGTTGTTTGTTTCGTTAATGAATGCATACTTATGTTGGGTCCGGGGCTGTGCCCCGATGGAATGTAATTTGCATAGGCAGCTCGTACAGGTGTGCGAGCTAATTCTGCCACGGAGACCAGGGCGTGGCATGAATTAGTGTGTAATTGAATCATTCTAGCTTGAACTTTCAACGAGACAACTTTTATTTACAATAAAAGTGCGTTGTGTCATGTAGTGTTACATGACTGTGTTTAAATAAGGTTTTCCAGAGTTTTTATGCTCGTTGAGTTTTATCTCTGGTTTTTTATCCTGGATCATGATAGGTCCGGTTTCCAGTGAAGGAAACGAGAAGAAATGTTTGTTAAACATTCATACTGAATAAACGGCCGGCTCTCAGTAGTCGTTGTCAGGCTATTCCACAATAATTGAAGTGTATTATTGTGTTATTTGTGTGTATTAGGAGTCAAGAGGGATGACAGACGAAATAATATGTGAGATTATAGGACAGACGAGCAGCAGTTTGCAGTATGAGTAAATCTGAAGTAGTGTCAGCTGCATACCCTGCCTTTAAATGCCTTATCATAATGCCCTAGTCACAAAAAGAGACCCAGGCTGACAATGGACAGAGCAAAGACGACATTAACCCCAGTGATCAAGAATTGGTCATTTTGAAGTAGCTATTGTAGGCGCTTTGGCAGCGTGACAGAATGGTTTATAATCTAAAAGGAAGATGTTCATGTCCTTACCTCCAGTTGAGATGTTCATCATGATAAGCAGAATCAACAAGCCATTGTAGGATACCTGTAGAGGAACATTGAGAATTTTACACAAAAAGGCGGTAGGAGTGGAATGAGGAGCTAGATATTTTGTTCTTCTCTATTTTTATGAATAATAAGCTATCTATTCTAACAATATTAGAGCACAAACCGCGTTTGTAGCTATTACACGTTATTCATGACTTTTTTTTCGAGGGGGAGGGGGTGAATTTTTTTTAATGGTCTATCTAAGAAAATAGGAAAGCACAATTTTGGATTGCAGTACAATTACATCCCTCTAAATATAGGAATAAACTTACCATCACATTGGGTGTTTATTCCTCGTACTGCATATATTATGATGTGAGTCTGTATATCAATATATCATTTTCGTAATCGTAATGTAATCAATTTTAATGCAAAAATCTTTGTTGAGTGCTTTTTTACAATTTATTTATTTAATCACCTGTAACGAATATTTGTATTTCTATAGTCAGATTGCGAAATACATACAGTAACAGTTAGCACATGTCCCGAATGACCCCGAATATCCACAGATCTTCAAAACATGAAGAGGTCACACTTTGTACATTTTAAATAATCACTCCTACCACAGCAGTGGAGGTGCTACATAAATAGCCTTTGTTTCCCCCTTTAAAAGAATACTTCCACATGTGTATCATGTAGTGCACTGTTTGTGCGTAAACGAATAATGATTATATAACTTTCATGAACGCGTATCCAGTATTTTGTCTCCGTGTATTTCACAATTTGGTCTGCAATGACCTTTATTTATCTACTCATGCTCAGACTGGCATATTGCTACTAGGTAATCAATGACAAAATATGTGAATACAATCTTCAATAATCTTATCTTCATTTAAATTGTATTCGTTGCTAATTTCTAATAACTTAGTATTAAACATAATTTTAAAATATGATTTTTTCGAACAAATTAATAAACTATGACAGAATAGTTGTTTTCCTAGATAATACTATTATTACTCATCAAATTTGTTACAATTCTAACAGTTTATTGGAATGGCCGCAATGATAGTATTTGTACCAACATTCTCTCCAAGACCATAGATATCTTAAACATATTTAAGTACTCGCTCCCCCCCCCCAAAAAAAAAAAATAATAATAATAATATAAATAAATATATATATATATATATATATATATGTTATATTGTAAATGATTTACAATGCTTTGATATCCCCATATCTTTAATATTGTACTGTTGCCTAGGGGTCTTCAAATAACAATAAATGTCTATATGTTATTCAGATTGCAGAAAAGGGTTTCTCATTCCAGCTTCCTTGCCCATACTAATCCATTATTTTCTAATTTGAAAATACCAAAGGTATTTGATCTTTCCTATTATACTCTATATGTTCATGTATTCATGTTCCGAATAAAATTATCTCCCTCAGACACGCTCAGACAGACTTTATATTAATATCCGGTTTCATTCTTAGAACACACTAGTTCCTCTTTCATATTTTCATTTCATTTATTCAGTTCTGAAGAGACATGATAACTCGATTTACATCAAAAAGGCATATGGAGACATTAAAACTTATCTTTAACAGAGCTGGCCGGGGCTCCAATCGAAGATAAGCGTAGGTCTTTTTGCCGGTCTTCTTGAGAGAGAATAATGATCAGAAATCCAAGTTTCAGCTATTAATTTAATTTTGTGGAAAATAGAAGTAGGCATATAAATGTATTTTCATTTAATAGATAAGCAGTCTTTGCAGTGTAAGATATTAAAATTGTACTTTTCTTATTCAATGTTATTATCAAGTTCTTTGGAAGGTAGTAATGGCAATGCTAATCATTACCGCTTGATGCAGTCCATTATTAGTCAGAGTTTGCGTCGAATAGACATGGAGTAATGACCTACATAAAATAAAAAGGAGACAACGGTCAAAGGAGGTGGATCGGTAGTTGGGCTCGTATATCATTTTGAATTGATGTGAACATGTGCATACAGTCCACCGCACACTATACCATCCTCTTGCGATCCGTATTTCGAAAAAGTGGCAATTTTAATTAGATATAGAATTCTAAACAGACATCTTCTTCCTGATATGTTTTTTTAAATAATGATAAGAACCTTAACTTCCGGAGCTCTACTGCACATGACTCTTCTTTTCAGAATAAAATCTAAATTGCCTTCGAATCGTAATTAATTGCACTACTGGTGTGACGTAGCTACGATTCTGAGCCGATTTAGCTTTTTTTCTCCAGCAAGGAAGCTTGAAATTCCTCAAAATGTAGGTACGATTAATTATAATACTATTCAGATCCTCGGCTATTAAGATTTTACATGTTTGAATGTTACTTTAAAAGGTTATTGCAGATAGTATAATGTGATGTGGGCTTTAGTAATATTCAGACGAGAAATGCATAACCGGGAAGTTAACATTTTGAAGAGGAAAATCATATAAAAACTAAGAGTTTCAACCTTTGTTTATAGGCAACTCCAAATTGATCGTGAACGAAACCATCTTAGAGAAATAATTTCTGTTATATTATGTTAATGCAATATCTCCGATGATTCATGAATGAAGTTATTTTACTTTTTTGTTTGTTAATATAAATATTTTCATTGCTGTAATTGTCATGATTAATGTTGTTATTGTTATCGTTAATATATTGCTACGAAATTATTCACCCCACCCTCTTGATGTTCTTGTTTTTCTTGTTCACCTCTTCCCTCGTCCATCATGAAGTTGGATGGCTGTCACTCAGTTCCAGCCCGTCTCTGCCCGCCATGCCTTACCCTGCTTCGATGAACCCATCATGAAAGCCACCTTCAACGTTCTTATCAAGCACAGAACCCACATGGTCGCCCTCTCCAATGGCCGTGAGATGGACACTATCGACCACGGTGACGGGTGGTCTTCGACGAGGTTCGAGACGTCGCCGGTCATGTCCACGTACCTCCTCGCCTTGGCGGTCGGTGTTCTCGACTACAGAGAGATTAACACGACGAATGGGATTCGGGTAAGTGTAGTATGCCCGCAGTATTTCGACAGCCTTCGACACCGACAGATTTCGAGACCGACAGCCCTCGAGACAGACCTTGAATGAGACGGACGTATCACGAGACCGACAACTCACGAGACGGACGGCCCACGAGACCAATAAGTCACGAGACGGACACAACCGTTAGACTACGAGACCGACAGCCCTCGAGACAGACCTTGAATGAGACGGACGTATCACGAGACCGATAACCCATGATACGGACGGCCCATGATACCGACAGCCACACCCTTAGAAAAGCTGTCAGAAACCACCCCGAGACCGATCAGTCGGTATCGTAGGCTGTCATTCTCGTGAATCCTTTTGTCACTTACAATTTCAATGCCTTATCCTTTTTCACTTTCACCATACACATGTCATTTGTTCTACTTCTCTAACGTGGGTACTTCCTTTCATAGTTGCTATGTAACTATATGCCTACGTGTTGAAAATCAGTATGGGAAACAACGTGATGTCATAGTGCGAATCACTATTTTGTGATCGTATAATTCTAACTTTCTATTTATTCTTTTCCCAGTATGCTGGGACTTGTTCTTGTTCTTCTTCTTCTTCTTCTTCTTCTTCTTCTTCTTCTTCTTCTTCAAAATCAATATAGAGGTTGTCTCTGTGATGTAGAATATGAGCGTCTGGTAAACCGTAGAATACACTGTTACAGTTCTTTCATTCATTCCAAATAGTTTATTCAAATACTTTCCGTTCATGTCTTTTAAGATATAATTCTGTTGAATGATTGCTTGATTAATGGATTGATTTATTGTTTCAGCTCCGAACGTGGAGTCGTCCGAACGCCATAGATACAACTGCATTCGCGTTGGAGTCGGCCTCGTCACTCATGACGCACTTTGAAGACTACTTCAGCATCCCGTTTCAGATATCGAAAATGGGTAATAATAATACTCGGTTTTTATATATCGCTTATTAAATTCACTAAGCGCTCCCCAACTTGGATATTATTACCCCGGCTTTAACTGTGCTGCCATTGCGGCGCTCTAGCATTTCAAAGAATTAATTCCTGCCAGGTAACCATTTACATCACCTGGGTTGAGTGTGGCAAATGTAGATCAATGTCTTGCCAAAGAACATTAGTGCCGCGCCGGGTCTCGAACCGCGGACCTTGTGATCGACAGTCCGGCGACTTAACCACTCGACCACGGCACCTCTAGAAATATAGATCAACTTGGTTATCAGTAATGTCATGAAATCGCTCATTTAACTGCGAAAGAAAGGAAATAGTGTTGTCGATGTATGCTACGACACATTACAATTGTTTATTTTTAAATTACCAACAAAAAAACATAATTGCCCTCCCCCTCCCGCTTGTTATATTAGTTTTGTCAAGACATAATTTCTAAAAAGAATTTAAACGAGGACAGATTTTTGTTCAAGTTTTGTCAGGGTCTGCATACACCCGTCTCCCCCCCCCCCCATATCTTACAATGTGCACTTTCAAGTGAGGTATACTTTTATTGCCAAATTGTTTATAAAATTCTCAAGTGATCAGAATATGAAAGATAAAATGAGGAAAGGTAAAAGAGAGACACCGAAGGAGAAACAGGGAATGAGAGATAGAGAGAGAGAGAGAGAGAAGAGAAAGATAGAAAGACACCAATAATATTTTATGTATACAGTGCGTCCCAGAAAAAACGAAACCGAGAATTATCGATGTTTTATCATAACTTAATCACAATTATAATTAATAAATGACACATAATTTTGTAAAACTTAGATCCTCCTCTTTCATTTAATATTTTAATGCAACTCATATGATGCATATTTTACGCATGAGTGATTAAGACAAATCTGAAGAGAGGGTACCAAAAATTCATTTGGCAGGCAGTATCTGAATTTCATAGAGAAAATCACATTTCTAGAAAGTTCATTATCTCCCCTTTCATAATATTATGACACCTCAATTAGGGAATATGAGCCAGGAATAACAAAGTTCTGTTTGTTTGAAGTAATGCTTGCATTTTCATAATTTGATTAAACGTATTCGTTTTTACTAATGGAAAACATTTATACAATCTCTTTTCCACTGCCCACTCTTATTTCTCTTTCTCCCTCTCCCCTCCCTCTCCCCTCCCTCTCCCCTCCCTCTCTCACCTCCCTCTCCCCCTCCCTATCTCACCTCTATTTCTCTCCCTTTTAACCTATATCTCTCTCTGTCTATTCTCTTTCTATATACCGCTCTCTCTCTCCCCTTTTTAATGTGTATATATCTCTCTTTCTGTTTTTCCAAATAGACATGCTCGGTGTTCCCGATTACGGACATGGAGGAATGGAGAACTGGGGATTGGTAACCTACCCAGAAAGCGGACTATTCTATGACCCGGATGTGGATACTAGGTCAAGCCAGGAGAGTATGCTTACAATCATTGCGCATGAAATTGCGCACCAGGTATGTTTTTCGTATTATTCGATTTCACTCAAATTAAGATGAATTAAAAAAAGGTTTATCATATAAGGAAACTATTGGCATGCATTTCCCAGGTAAGTGTCCCAAATAGTAACGAAAATACAGGTCAGTGGGTATCTCACAAGACTAGTACTACTCTGACATCACCATAAACAAATGGTGTCAAGCTATGGTTCAGCTATTTCAGACAGTTGAACAGTTAATCATGATAAGCAGTATGTGACATGTTGCTTGGTAAGACCAGGAAGCTGTAATGACAATGATTGATTATTATTTTTATTATTATCATCATTATTATTATCCACCTAATAGGGGGGCACGGGCCGACTATGCCCCTGCCTGAATCAGGGCCTGCATCTACGTCAAAATCCTAACACAGTAATAACACAAGTTCGGCTTTCTTTTCCAAATTTGGCGGACAAAAAAAATCCACGGGAAAAAGAACCTATCCTAAGCTCGTACTACGATCCCATAAAAGCCAAGTATAACATTGGTCAGCATAAAACTAATAGGATAAGGCAACTTGAAAAGGAGATGATACGACCCTCACCTCATTCCGTGGCCTTGTTCTATTGTATTCATCCACCCAATTCCCCCCTGTCCCGACTCCAATGCCCATCCCACACTAAGCCATTGTGCAGGGTGAGGGGAGTGTAGCAATATAATATCTAATATTCCAAATCATTATCAAAATATCTCATGTGAAAATTTGATTGATTTCAGTGGTTCGGCAACCTCGTCACCATGGAGTGGTGGGATGACCTCTGGTTGAACGAAGGATTTGGAACATACTTCGGATATCTGGGTGCTGATGCCCTTAATCCGGAAATGATGTTGGTAAGTACAGATATTTCCTGATTTTATGCGTACTGGCAGTGACGTAAATACGTTCTGAGGAGTAAGGGGGTGATCAGTGAAAGAGCGGCTCGGAGCATGGAATTTCAAAGCCAAGTGGAATGTTACACACATCCCATTGTTACGCTTTAGAACTCACGCATGCGTTTGAATGAATTACAAGAGTTTCCACTCCTTCTTTATCATCTCCCTGGTTGAACTAATATGAATAAGTCACTTCGGAGATACTATTTGCGCATGGGCAGATAAAGATCATTTGTACAAAATTGTAAAAACCAAACTAAAATGACTGGTGAATACGTGTTTATGAAAGTTATGTCATCATTATTTATTTATGCACCGATGGTATGTTCTAGGATCGGCAAGTGGAAGTATTGTTTTCAAGAAGGCTAGCAATAGGTACTCATGAAGCATCTCCATCACTTTGGCAGTGATTATTTCAAAATGCACAAAGTAGGCTGTCTCTATGTGTAAAAGATATAGGCCTAATAATAATAATAATATTCAGTTCTTGTATGGTACATAATACGTTATGAAATAACATCTCTATGCGCTTCCAAAGAGTTTTGGAAATTATTGCCCTAGCTTTAGCTCCGGCAGTCGTTATCAGCGCACAATGCATTTCAAGGGATAATCTTACCAGATACCCATTTACCTCACCTGGGTTGAGTGTGGCAAATGTAGATTAATGTCTTGCCAAAGGACAATAGTGCCGCGGCGGGACTCGAACCGCAGACCACAGTCTGGTGACATATCCACTCGACCATGACACCTTCGTAAAACAATATAAGAATATTTGTACGAGTGGTATTTCTGAAGTGGCTTATTCTTTGTTTTTTTCATTCATCAATTTACAGCTGGAAACATTGATTGCTTCTAACAACCACGCCGTTCTGATTAGTGATGCGCTCTCTACGTCGCATCCTATAAAGGTCCACGTGACGTCACCATCAGAAATCGACGAGCTTTTCGATGATATCTCCTATATCAAGGTTTCTTTTAACTTTAGCTTCAACCTTAAACCTTTAAGCAGTTTACTTTTCTGTGTCTGCTTTTCGTACCTTCTCCCTCAGTTCGAACATATTGTTGAATCAATAAGTTTTAAAGTAGTCGACCTACGGGGGTTCTACTTCTGCATGGGGGACATGTGGGAGCCCCTGTACTGTTTTACGGAGTTGCTATAAACATATTTTATCGAATCAATGTCGTTTTAAAGAGATGATTGGTACTACAACATCGAAGAATAGCAACAAATACAGAAATACAGAAGCTTTTTGTCTTGCACTCATCTTGATATTTACATTCGTAATTTACTCTTGAAGAGTGAAGGATGAAAATCTTTGGTATGTCTGTATTCATTGATATGCTTCGATAATTTTATTTTTTAATTTGAAATGAAACTGTCTATTATATGTATATGTCTGTATATGCTCATGGTGAAGTCAGGTATTAACATCTTAATCAATATCAAGTCACGGTCACCTGCATATTGATAGTAATCCCGATGCTTATCATTATCATTGATTTGTACAAATATATTATTGAAGGTTGTTGCGATTGGTCATCTTTATTTTTCTATGAAAGTTTGATAGCTATTACTACTCTATAAGAAAGCAGAAAAATAAAAGAAGCAGACTGATTAAATTAGAATGGAATTGGAGGAAAAAATGAGAACGTCATTAATTTTTGTAATAGTGGTAATTACTAGACGCATAGGCACCTAAAATTGGCTGAATCGGTAATGCCATTGTGACGTAGTGCTGGACAGCTTTCTCGTTTGTTTCAAAACCCCCAAAAAGACTAAAATGTAGTGTTTTTTTTGTAATGCATGACCCAGAGTTTTTTTTTTCTTTGTACATGATCTGTGTACATGGATAGAAGAAGAGGGGAAGACCTCGTAAAGGTTTTCTAGACGATGTAATCACAGAATGTGGAGCAACAGGGTATGAAACACTGAAAGGGATGGCTCAAGACCGAGAAACTTGGAGAGACACTTGATATAAAATTGGGTCACTGAACCTGTCATAAACTGTCAGATCACTATTGATGATGATGATGATCTTTGATAATATGCTGTCGATGATCTGTTTCGAGTAGTACACCAAGGGAGAATATAACTTAGGAGAAAAACAGAAATCAATGATATTTTGTACATGATAAACGGGAGAGCTGTCGGTGACTACGTCGCAATCCACTGACCAATTTGCCAATTTGAGATTTATTAATCTCATCTTCCAAACATTCATAGCTCTCCGATTAATAACAACTCTCGTATTATTGGTCGGGTTTAGTTTTAATTTTCGCCAATCTATTTCTCTTATTTTTAAGCTTCCATGCAAATTAAGTTATTAGGCTACAAAGGTTGGATTGTCCTTTAAAACCATCAGCTACTATTATCTTGCGTAGGTCCTAATCATACAAGATGAATCAGCATCAAGCAGTCTACGTGACCGCAACCTTATTTGACTGTTTTGCATTTTTATATTTCCACATCTAGTCCGGCAGCCATCTCGATATACCTTGTTTTAGGGTCTATAGTTTTTTTTTTTTTGGATTATAGTTCCTTAGACCATCAATTTGAAGAATCCGATTGCTGACACTCTGTCAGCCTTGAGCAATTTGAGATATGTGACGTCACACAAAATGGCCGCCAAAATACCCTTTTTTACCAAAATTAATGATAACAAAATTGTTTACAGTATTTTGCTACATTAAATGTCAGTCAAATATCTTGATTTTTTTCTAGGATCATCACTAAATAAAAATTGACGATGTATGATAAAAAATGGCATGTAAATTTGCATAATTCAGATTGGCGCCCTCTATAGACACGTTAACTTGCAAATTTTAAATGATGGCCAAATGCCAATTTCTAACATGAAATTAACATTTTTTATAAGTCAGACGCACTGAATACAATTAGTAAAAATTGTGCACCACATTTTGGTGTGATTTTTTTGTTATTTTGTACTTTAAAGGTAAAGATCAGTTTTGGAAACGCCCCCCTCTCAAAAAATGAAATGGAAGCTCTTATCACCAATCATGTAAAAGAATATGTTTTGACTAATACGTGATGATACAAATTTTGCCGAGAAACCGCCTACTAATTGATATATTTGGTAAATTATTATATCTATTTAGACCTGATAGATATCGCGCACGTGTCGCGTAGTCCCATATACATCCTTCTGTGTACAGTGCTTGTAACTTTACCAAGACTGGGCCAAATTTCTAATCGTTTTGATGATTCCAGAACCTTGCAGTACACACCAATACACACCAATAGATGATCAACCTTTTCTAATCGATTCCACAACGTTTCTTTCACAATGCAATCGCATGACCATAACTGGTCTTTATCTTTAATACTTGAAGAAAACAAGCTAGAATTTCATGCTCTCTGTCCCATAGATATGAGGTGCCATATGGTTATAAATGCCCGTTTTCAGTGACATCATTCCGAAATTTGATTTGTATTTTGAGGTAATACATTCTTTTATATGAACCTATCATGAAAAGGTTCCTCTCTTACAAGGGAATTTATTAGTTTAATAAAGCGAAATATCCACCCTAAATGACCAAACATGGTTACCTTCCAATGGCTTTCATCTGCTGCTTTAGTTTGATCGTTATAACACTCGACAGAGGCGCGAAAACCACAGAAAATTGTGCATGCTAGTTTTGCTTTGTTGCATTGGCACCGTGATGATTTACATAAGCTTCCACTCGCACAAGTGCACCGTATTAACCTTAATATGTTGTCCAGTGCGAGTTGTACATTTGTAAGTACTGTGACAGGGATCAGGGATTTGGTTTCCTCTTCTTTCGCATACCCATACTTTGTAGGATCCAATGATGTGGGTCGTGACTGCAAGGCGTGCTTCCACACACATGTTTGCAGATGAGCTCTCTTGCCAACTGAGTCCAAAGGGAGTCAAATCTTCTGCTTCATCACTTTCAGCAATGCCAGTACCCTTTTCAATCCCAAAGTATGCCCCAATAGTGTCGCATCCCCTCAACGCATGTCCTGCAAACATCGATGGAATGATATCTCCTAACTTGTGTACAGTGGCAGGAATGTCAATAACAGTTCGCTCTTTGATGACTCCATGATCATTGACATTCTAAGTTATTCATGTAGATAATGATGGACCCTAACCCTAACAGCCACGACCCTAACATACCTTTTCTCATTAGCAGCAATTTGAATCGCTTGCTGTACTATGAGGTTGTCTGCTTCTTCATGTGTTGCAAAGATCTTCCCTTGGCATGAAATCGCTGCCTGGTATCACTTGAACAGATACATCATCTTGACCGGTAATGACCAGCTTGTGCTTTTGCCTATTTCTGAACACCTCATCATTCTGCAGAATCACGCATACCGGTATATGATGTCGATCAACTGTAGTTTGTTGTCAGTAGTTTCTGATAGGGAAGCAGTGAGGTGGGAAGACTCTTTTGGATGACTCTCGATTCGTCATGACTTCTAGAAACCCTGGTGGCACACCAACCAAAGATCATCAGATTTTAATCCAGAGAAGAGCACAACCATCAAACGGACTGTACAAGGTTGTTCAAGCGACACGTCAACCTTTGTCAAATTCTTCAAGTTCGCCTTTGACCTGGTGAAAGCTTCCATGACAAAATATTCTTGATATTGACATATCTTCAACTTGCCTGTAATCCTATTACTCTAGAGTATATCAACTTGGTGTCATAGACTTTCGAATCCTCCAATGTTAATTAAACTACACCCTCCAAGTGGTTGAAAACTTCACCTACCTCGGCTCCATGTATTAAGCAACCTCTCCCTTGATCTCGAGCTCAACGTTCACATTGGCAAGGCAGCAACCAAGATGGCTAGACACTCAAAGCAGGCCTGGAAGAACACTTTACTATAAACCACCAACACGAAAATGAAGATCTACCAGGCCTATGTGCTCAGCACTCTCCTGTATGGCAGTGAGTCGTGAACCCTGTATGCAAGTCAGGAGCGCCGTTTGAATGTTTTCCATTTCCGCTACTTGAGGCGAATCCTAGGCATCAAATGGCAGGACCACATTCCAAACAAGGATTTCCTCAAAAAGGAGGGATGATGACCATCTACGCTCTTCTATCAAAACGACGGCTGAGATGGCTTGGTCATGTCAGTCGAATGGAAGACGGCCGCATTTCAAAAGACATCTTGTACGGAAAGTTAGTGACCAGAACTAGGACTGTTAGAAGACCTGGCCTTCGCTTCATGGATGTGTGCAAGAGGGATATGGAGGCCAGTGAAATCAACCCTACAAAATGGGAAGCCTATGCTTCAGACTGCCCCAAATGGAGATGCGCTGTGAAGACATGTATACAGAGGAGTGATCAGAAGAGAGTAGAACAGTGGGAGGAGAAAAGACAACAAAGACGGCAGCTAGCCACGGCTTCAACAGCACAGCCACACATGAAATTTGTCTGCAGCAACTGCAACAGGACCTGCCTCTCTAGGATTTGACTGTTTAGTCATAGCAGGAGCTGCACAGCAAGAAACTCTTGTGCTTGAAGCTGTTAAACAGAGGTACAATTGACGGTGTTCAAAGGGAGGGAGTTCCAGAGTCTTATTGTATCCGGGAAGAAACTCCTCTTTTAGACAAGCATTCAGGCAAAATGAACAATTATCTTCTTGGAATGCCCTCTGTGCAGGGATGTTGATGGAGTGAGGAAAGTATGTGGAAAGTCTTTCAGCGGGTTGTTGATGCAAAAGATCATCACCACCTGAGCCTGTACCCTGCATTCTTGTAATGTTGGCCACTTGAGCTGGTTCAGGATGGCTTCTACTTTGCTTGTCCTGCAGTGGTCATTGCAGAAGGAGCGGACATAGCGCCGTTGACCAAGGAGTGTCATGTCCAATCGGTCTCTGGCATCGATGCCTTTGGCAAGGTCCAGGACAGCAAGGACAAGCTGTGAGACGCAGGATCGCTTCTTTCGAAAGCCATGTTGTGCATCAGACAAGATGTTGTGGCTTTCAAGGTGGTTCATGTTGCTGCTAAGAACGATGTGCTCCAGTACTTCACAGGTTACTGACGTCCGAGAGACAGCTTTGTAGTTCTCTGGCTTGCTACGGTCACCTTTCTTGAAGATGGGATCAATATATATAGCCATCTTCCATTTATCAGGTATGCACGCTGTGGTTAAGGAAGGCTTAGAAGAATAGAGGGAACACAGGTGTCAGTTTGGTGGTCAGAAATCTGGCTGGGATTTGGTGGACATCAAGCTCAGACAGGATCTTCAGAACCCCTGGTGGCGAGATAGTAATGTGATCCATGGTTGGGTAGGGGCTTTGTCCTTTGTCTCTCAGACTAGTCATATCTTCATTGCAGTTGAAGATGGATGAAAACTGATTACTTAGAATGTTCGCCTTTGAGAGGTTATCTGAGTAAGTCATTCCATTAGATTATTTCAATGGAGCCAACCCTGAAGCATCGCATCGCTTGCCGTTTATGAAACTCCAGAAACACTTTGGTTTATAGTTGGTGTCTGGGCTGACAATTTGTGTCAGGTACCCGTTGTAGACTTTCTTGGAAATTGTGTCATAGAATCCACCAGGTAACTTCTGTTAAAACTCATGCATCTGTCTGGTACCGATGCCAAATGCTTTATCATCATTCACCGACGCTGGATCAATGCTGGTCTAAATAAAGCCTATGAATGGAACAATAATGTACCGTAAAATCACTTCTCACTGATTCTCTTGTAGATCTTGGTTTCTTTACATGATTGTATCTTAATTTAGACCAAAAAATATGTAAGATAAATGCAGCACAATCGTAATTATTTCATGCATACGAAGCATACAATATGTGTTTAACGTGACATAGATCTAAGAAATTGGCATTTTTATGCAAAATTAATATATTTATAGAGGGCGCTATCTCAAAATATGCAAATTAGCTTGTCATCTATGGCCGTGCAACATCACGAAACAATTTTTAGTGATGGTCCTAAAGAGATACAGACATTTGGCTGCCCAAAATTGTAGAAAAATCCTTGTTTTATATTTATTATAGATTTTTAGAGAAAAATCATGTACTTTGGCGGCCATTTTGTATGACGTCACATATCTTAAATTGCTCAAGGCTGACAGAGTGTCAGCAATTGGATTCTTCAAATAGAAGGTTTAGGCAATCATAATCCATTGAGAAATAAGAAATTGGCATTTGGCTGGCACACCTATTTTTATGCAAAATTAATATATTTATAGAGGGCGCTATTTCAAAATATGCAAATTAGCTTGCCATCTATGGCCGTGCAACATCACGAAACAATTTTTAATGATGGTCCTAGAAAGATACAGACATTTGGCTGCCCAAAATTGTAGAAAAAGCCCTATTATATATTTATTATACATTTTTAGAGAAAAATCATGTACTTTGGCGGCCATTTTGTATGACGTCACATATCTTAAATTGCTCAAGGCTGACAGAGTGTCAGCAATCGGATTCTTCAAATAGAAGGTTTAGGCAATCATAATCCATTGAAAAAAAAACTATAGACCCTAAAACAAGGTTAGGCCAATAATATGGATTTGGCTGCCGGACTAATCCATGTCCACAACTATACCAGGGAGCAGCTGTACTGCGCATGCTCCATGACATGCTAGGTGATGACGTATTTCGAAGAGGGATGCAGGGTTATCTGAGAACCTTCCAGTACAGCAACGCTAACTCTGACCAGTTGTGGGATGCACTCACTGAGGTAGTCTCATGGGGTTTACGGCGGTGCTTATGATAATGATTATGATAATGATACTGACAATTAAGATATAATCATATAATAACCTTACAGGATAATTTAACAATATGTAGCCTAAATGGAGAGGTGCAGGGATGATTGCCTTCTTCCCCATGAATGCCCAAACATGCCTCCAAAGTTGACCACCTTTATGCTTGTCAGATATATATTGTTTGTGGTCATTCCGTTACAAAACTATCTAAAATACAATATTCAATGTATTTGACTAATGATAGGAAACTTAAACTGTTGTGAAAATACCTCATATAAGTTGATATACGTTGTCATTTATTTGTATATTTTTATCTTAATTTCTTTAATATTCTTTTCTCAAAATTGAAAATTCTCTGAAAATGTCATTCCGTAACGCTTGGAACCGACAGGCACTTTTAATGTGTTTTTTTTTTAATTTCTTACCGTGAGCTCCCATTTCTTGGTGCCGCTTCTTCGTGATACCCCAGTTGCACCAAGGAGACTGACACCAGATCGAAACAAACAAATCCATTACCCTGAGTGAACATGTAATGGTCGGTTTGGGGTCGAAGTGGAGTCGGCTTGGAGGTGTAAGTGAGGCCCCTTATAAAGTTCTTGTTGTTTCGCTTTTGGTTTCACGTGCAGGCTGACGTAGGGTTCGGCAACATTGACGTATGGCAGGTGATGGACACCTGGATCCTGCAGATGGGCTACCCATTGGTCAACTTGACCAGGCTGGACGAAACAACAATATCAGCCGTACAGCAGAGGTATATCGTAAAAAGCCAGGTGTCCGACCCGAGAGAAAGTCCATACGGGTAAGGTGGTTAATGACGAAGAATACACTTACACAGAGTTCATTATAAAACATTGTGGGATTGGATTGTCGATATTGATCTGTTTAATTGTTCCCGATACTGTCATAAAACATCACTTCACCATCGTTCAAAACACACGAGTTTACAGGAATCCCTTAGATCCCTAGGGCCATGTAGAAGATGTAAAACGGCACAGAGTGAAAGCTCAAGAACATTTCAGTTCAAATACAAATAAATAATCTTGAAATACTTTTAAATGATAAAAGATGATATTTCGTTGTCTTTCACTGTCTATGTCTTATATATATTAGAGGACAAGAGCTATTAGTGGTGATGAAGATACGTTACCTCTTTGAGAATAAAGCTAATCTCATGGTATTCTCTATCGTTATATTTCTCTTGTACTACTTCATATATAGATTATGTATTTTTATGTGTGTATTTCTCTTCTTGTGCTACTTGTCATCGACTGTCTCTTTTCAGATACGTTTGGTCTATCTACCTTACGCATACCCATAATGGATCAAGAAATACCGAAAGTCCTCCCTCAGTTTGGATAAGAGATCAGGAAATAAGTGAGCATCTTTAGAATAAATAATTGTATTTCTTCATAGTTTATCTGTTTCGCCCTATATTATGTGATTAAAAATCTGTCGACCTCTTTCTGTCTCCTTCCGCGCTGTTTCTCTCCTCTCTACATCTCCTAAAACATTGCTTGAAAAACCTGGCCATCCCGTCATCGATACGAATTTTGATGATCATGATAATTATTGAGTGATATTTCATATCTACATATTGAAACATATTTTACAGACAAGAGTATGAATTAACTTTAAAGCAGGCAGGTGAATGTTATATGAGCAAAGGGCAAGGTCTGAATACACCACTGTTCGGTCATTTAGGCATAACAATGCAACCCCTCCTCCTACCTTTGGTTTCTATGGTTTCTTTTCCAGATGAGTTCAGTTTGGCTGATGGAGTAAGTGTGGATGACTGGTATCTAGCCAACATCCACCAATTCGGTTTCTTCCGAATCAACTACGAGCCGGAGAATTGGGCCAAACTTATCCACCAACTCAACACTGATCACGAGGTGAACGCATTTAGATAGTCATAATCAACCTCTCTGTTTTGTTTATGTCTTCCAGATCTTTTTCATGATAGGAAATTGTTGCCTGGTTGTAACGAAAGCTTCAGAAAGTACAAATCACTTTTATGAAAAAGGTGAAATAAAAGTGTCCCGATGTTTGCTCAGGGCTTTACAATAATGATGATGGTTATGAAAATGATGATGATGATGAGGACAATGATGATAATGATAATAATAATATTAATAGCGATAACAATCACAATAAATATAACAATAGTGATAATAATTATAATAATAATAATAATAATAATGAAAATGATAATGATAATAATATTGTTTAAAAATTATTATTCAGCGCTCTATACATTTCGTCAAAGGTATAGGGTAAGGGTTAAGGTTGCATATGGGTTTCAGCTTAGTAAAGGACTGGGAATAATTTGGGTCCGGGTTCAAGTTAGGAATTATTTTTATTTATGAAATTGACCGCGGAGCAATTGTGTCGTACAAAATTAATGAAGTAAAAACATTCGCATGACTCGTTTATTTATTTGATTTTTGCAGATAAATTGGGTTGGGTTGTATCATGGAGTGTGCTTAGACACATTTCTTTTACGCTCAAAACCAACTAAAATATCGATTTATGGATTGTGTCAAATTGAGTTGTCTGTTATAATACCGATTGAGCATAGTTCTCTGCATTGAGTAAACAATATCATGTCAAACTATCAAGTTTCCGAGTCCACCAGCCATTAGCGTTAAAAAATCATTGAGAGTGTTCATGTCCAAGAATTGCATATAAGACCATACCAATGAAATCTGATCAAAAGTAATTGCGGTTCAGCATGTCCTACACGCCCCTATCTTAAATCTTAAATCTTAAATTCCCCTTTTTCATTGTTAGGCTCGATCAGATATGACGCGGTAAAAACCACTGCCAAAATACCCCCTGTGATGGAATACGGACTCAAAGGATTTGTGTGACTTCTAGTTTAAACACGTTGCTGCAATTCAATGATGAAACAAAGGAGACATCCGTTTAACTCATGTTGGTTCCTTTATTGTGACACTGTCGTGGACCATCATTGGAAAGTGAAGAGAAAAAATTCAACAACTGTGTGGGATAATTCCTGCAAAATACAACAAATGAAAACACTAAATATATGTTCTTGCAATACGTTTAACACTTAGAAATCCAATTTCCACATATACTCAAGTTCCATTCGTGTGTCAGTAATTCTAAACTTTATAGTTATAATAATATGCCAACTTTCGATAAACCACAAATCTTTAAAGAAGCATAAATGCATAACCATAGACAAAAGAATAATCAATAACACAAACAAGAAACTTTCTCAAGCCCTAAAATGAGACTAACAATCATGAACTTATCACGTTATCTCTAAAATGATATTCATCCGCACATTAAATCGTGCGTGAAGAGGTTCTCGTAACTAAGATACCTTCACACGTACATACGCAAGCAAACTTAGTTTGGTCTTAACTTATTTAAAGTCTACCCATGCTCATAACTAAATTAAATTCACATATCATCTTCCTGACAACCATCAATTTTAAACTGCTTTATATCTAATTCACAAAGGAAAAGGTCTTCAAAAGACCGTCTTAACTATCAATCAAACTTTCAACGAATCCATGTCCGCGATTCGTTTCACGTCACTACACACATTCATAAAGGCTATCGCTTCCATAGTGCGACTGTAATCTCTACAACTTGCAACTACTTTCAGTGGCATTTTAAAGCACTGTATTTTAAGAAATATAACTCAATGAATAAACATACCTTAAGGATTATCTAAAGAGTTCCCAACTCAACATAGAAATGCTGGAACTGCAAGCAAACTGCTAAACTGTTAGCGACTGTCGTCGCTGTTGGCGAACTGCCATTACGTAGATAACAACTCTCGTCTTCCCCTTCTTCTCCGAACTATTTCTTCTAGTCTCGTCACAAGTCTTAAACATAACTTTCAGAACAAGAAAAGGGTCATTCCATGACATCCCGCCCCCTCAAACATGACGGAAGTCACTAGAATACATGACAACTAGGTCAATAACATTACACTCTAAACAACTCTAAACAACAAAAGGGTGTGAAAACAATTTTAAACAATCTTGGATGCTATGTGCAGACTCATTTACTTACACAAATGTTTCTACCATGAATACCTTTTGCATATAAACTTAAACAACGTGAACAAGCTGGATGTGTTCCATAGTTAGGCACAATATTAAGAACGGGTGTCTCCAGTACAAATATTCAAAACATTTTGAGTTATTTACAGTCCATGCTTCCTATGGAGTTTCACAATTAACTTTAACTTTCAATGCCCAATTATCCAGATGGGCAAACTATATTCGTAAACAAAGGTTCATCAGTTCAGTTTAGCTACATCAAACTAAACATCATCAATTTGGTCACGGGTCGCTTGACAGTCGTCTTGTCTAACGAAGCCCGACAACGTGCACTAGTTCATCGCGTCCTGCGAAAGTCTGAGTGATCTCTGCCATCCACCAAGTTCCACATCTCTTGTCCTCCCCGATGACCAACACGATGTCTTCCACCTCTACGTTCTCTGAAGTTTTCTGGTTCTTTGGTCGAGGAGAAAGTTTGTGTAGCTCAGCGAAATGCACATACATGTAATTGCTCAGGTAGCTCAGCGTAATGCACATACATGTAGTTGCTAAGGTAGCTCAGCGTAATCAGGTAGCTCAGCGTAATGCACATACATGTAGTTGCTCAGGTAGCTCAGCGTAATCAGGTAGCTCAGCGTAATGCACATACATGTAGTTGCTCAGGTAGCTCAGCGTAATCAGGTAGCTCAGCGTAATGCACATACATGTAGTTGCTCAGGTAGCTCAGCGTAATCAGGTAGCTCAGCGTAATCAGGTAGCTCAGCGTAATGCACATACATGTAGTTGCTAAGGTAGCTCAGCGTACTCAGGTGGCTCAGCGTAATGCATGTAGCAGCGTAATCAGGTAGCTCAGCGTAATGTACATACATGTAGCAGCGTAATCAGGTAGCTCAGCGTAATGTATATACATGTAGCAGCGTAATCAGGTAGCTCAGCGTAATGTACATACATGTAGCAGCGTAATCAGGTAGCTCAGCGTAATGTACATACATGTAGCAGCGTAATCAGGTAGCTCAGCGTAATGTATATACATGTAGCAGCGTAATCAGGTAGCTCAGCGTAATGTACATACATGTAGCAGCGTGCCCAGGTAGCTCAGCGTAATGTACATACATGTAGCAGCGTAATCAGGTAGCTCAGCGTAATGTACATACATGTAGCAGCGTAATCAGGTAGCTCAGCGTAATGTACATAATGTACATGTAGCAGCGTGCCCATGCAGAGAGGTGATGTGGTGCTTACTCTAACACCTTACTCTAAAACATCAATAGGGAGCACCACAAAAGAGCGTAAACAAATAGCTCGTAGAGGGGTGTCACAGATGGGTGATCCGGTGTTAACGCCAACGCCAATCTTGAAATAATTCGTGTCACAGACGTGTGATCCGGTGTCAACGCTAACGCCAATCTTGAAATAATTAGTGTCACAGACGGGTGATCCTTTAAAACATCAGTAGGAAGCACCACAAAAGAGCGTAGACAAATAGCTCTTAGAGTGGTGTCACAGATGGGTGATCCTCTAAAACATCAGTAGAAAGCACCACAAAAGAGCATAAACAAATAGCTCGTAGAGTGGTGTCACAGATGGGTGATCTGCATGGTGCTAACGAGGGCGAGGGCTGACGTGCTGAGAATATTGATGCAGTGGCTGCTGGTGATGCTTGCTGGATGGTAGACTGAGTTCAAAACGTGGTATTTGCCTGTAGAGCTGCTTCCTGTGCATCAGGCCGGGTGAACTGCACAGGTGCTGATGCGCTAATGGGATTGCGAGCCTCAAGGAACTTTCTTGCATGTACCATGCTCTGAAAAAAGGATTGCTCGCATTCTGCCATCCACTGTTCCTCCTGGGCATATGCCTCTTCATCTGTTGTGTTTTCTACCAGCTCATCATGTTTGGTTTCCACCTTGGTAGTTCTTCAGCATTAGGACATATCCACCGCATCACCTGTGGTCACCAACTTCTCGATTGCTGTCAAAGCGCGGGTAAGACCCCCTTTCGAGTTTCAGCGAGGGAGTGTAAGCTTGTTTATGTCCATCATGTTTGAGTCCGTGAATCAAAAACTCCAATAAAGACAGTTGTTGAAGATGTGATGGAATACGGACTCAAAGGATTTGTGTGACTTCTAGTTTAAACACGTTGCTGCAATTCAATGATGAAACAAAGGAGACATCCGTTTAACTCATGTTGGTTCCTTTATTGTGACACTGTCGTGGACCATCATTGGAAAGTGAAGAGAAAAAATTCAACAACTGTGTGGGATAATTCCTGCAAAATACAACAAATGAAAACACTAAATATATGTTCTTGCAATACGTTTAACACTTAGAAATCCAATTTCCACATATACTCAAGTTCCATTCGTGTGTCAGTAATTCTAAACTTTATAGTTATAATAATATGCCAACTTTCGATAAACCACAAATCTTTAAAGAAGCATAAATGCATAACCATAGACAAAAGAATAATCAATAACACAAACAAGAAACTTTCTCAAGCCCTAAAATGAGACTAACAATCATGAACTTATCACGTTATCTCTAAAATGATATTCATCCGCACATTAAATCGTGCGTGAAGAGGTTCTCGTAACTAAGATACCTTCACACGTACATACGCAAGCAAACTTAGTTTGGTCTTAACTTATTTAAAGTCTACCCATGCTCATAACTAAATTAAATTCACATATCATCTTCCTGACAACCATCAATTTTAAACTGCTTTATATCTAATTCACAAAGGAAAAGGTCTTCAAAAGACCGTCTTAACTATCAATCAAACTTTCAACGAATCCATGTCCGCGATTCGTTTCACGTCACTACACACATTCATAAAGGCTATCGCTTCCATAGTGCGACTGTAATCTCTACAACTTGCAACTACTTTCAGTGGCATTTTAAAGCACTGTATTTTAAGAAATATAACTCAATGAATAAACATACCTTAAGGATTATCTAAAGAGTTCCCAACTCAACATAGAAATGCTGGAACTGCAAGCAAACTGCTAAACTGTTAGCGACTGTCGTCGCTGTTGGCGAACTGCCATTACGTAGATAACAACTCTCGTCTTCCCCTTCTTCCGAACTATTTCTTCTAGTCTCGTCACAAGTCTTAAACATAACTTTCAGAACAAGAAAAGGGTCATTCCATGACACCCCCACCTTAACATATTAATGGCTTTTCATCTTTTTTTAGGTTATTCCTGTTCTGAACCGGGCACAGCTTATGGAAGATTCCATGAATCTGGCCCTTAATGGCCGCCTCCCGTTTTCAACTGCCTTCGAACTCACTAGATACCTACGGAACGAGTTCAATTCCGCACCTTGGAATGCTGTACTCAGCTACTTGATCATCTTCCGGGATAATTTGGGTGCCACCGCCCTACAAGGTCCATACGAGGTACAGAGGTCACGTTGATCCGAATCGATCGCAAGTCCTTTAAAATGATTATTTCTTATGATCATATCTCTTCTTTACATACTCTTTCCTGTATTCTATTTACTATTCTAGTTCTTATTACTTAATGTAATTACTATTGCCTCTCTCTTTCACACACCTCTTACTGCTTGCCATGTTTTACTATTACCTATTTCTTATGTACTTACTATTACCTGTTATCTATTTTATATTATATAGTTACTATTCGATATTGTATAGCACTCATATTTACCAATTAAATTGCTTAAGGCGCTACAATGTTACTCCTTCTACAGCACGGATACTGTTTACGGCGCTCACAACATTCGAGGCAGCCTTTCCTTCCGGTACTCATTTAACCCCGGTTGGATATAGCGACGGAAGTAGATTCATGTCTTGCCAAAGGACACTAGTCATATTGATTGATACCATATACATTTCAAAATTAGTTGTGATCGACTCAGATCAAAAGCTCCCATTCCTTTTATAGTCAATAGCGGCAGCTCTTGACAGATTTGTAGACTATCGGAATGATGTATTGCTTTGTTCTATCTGTTGCCTGTCATGTTAATGTGACTAGTATTACTTGAAGACCATTAAACATCTTCTAATACTGAAATGCATCGATACTCCGCAATTTTTTTTTCTATTTTGATAGATTCGTTTGCATCAATTTCCTCTGTTTATTCAACAGAAATATCTCCGAGAGCTGACTAGCCGAGCATATGACGAGCTCAGACTCGAGATTGACACTAGTCAGATATCACTCGATAAAGCGTAAGTGCAAAATGGGATGATTAGGAAAAAATTACCTAAAGCATTATGATACATGGTTTATATAACTATATTAGAAGTGAAGAAAGATGACATTCGTACGTTGAAATAGTTTTGATAATTATGCAAGATTTGTATGTGCGTCTATTTGTAAGTGTTATTGTAGGGGAGGAAATGTATGTTTGTGTACTATGAAGATTTAAGGGAAACTAGTGATTGGTTTGTGGGTGTGTGCGCGTGCTTGGGAGGATAGTGGGTATGAGAGGGTGGGGTACGGAAGTGTTTGGCGTGTGCGTGTGTGTGTGCGTGTGTTTTACGTGGAAGAAAAAACATAATCGCCTATAGACAATGCAGATCGGGGTCTTATGGAGGATTAACGAATGTTTTGTTTTCCGGATGAATTTTCTTGAAACAGAAAGACAAGGGAACTCATTGTACCAATTGCCTGCAAGGTTAGGAATCCCGAATGCAGTCGTCATGCTTTGGACCTGTTCGAGGATTTCAGAAAGACATACAACCTTTCAGACCCGAGTAGTAATGTGTATGTATTCTTATGAATATGCAAATTATACTTTTTTAATATTCATGTTAATGTGTTGATAGAGGTTGTAATTAATGCAAACAAACGAACTTGATTCAAGAGCCAGGGCAGGACTGCACACGCACTAATAACGAGATGAGGACGAGTTGAACTGTCTCTGAACGGGGTGGTTGAGTTATAAACTAGTTAGAACAAGTTGAGAACTAGTTAGAATTAGTTGGACGTATTGGGAACGAAGTAGAACTAGTCAATGACGGGTTTAAACTGACTACGGACGCGGGCTTGGACTGCTTGGAAATGGCAAATTTACCCGATCTGAACTTGTGGACGGGGTAAAGAAGAGTTGGACGTATTGTGGATTGTTTGGGAATGAACTAGGATCGTATTATAGACATTATTTACACATTCTAACCCGACCAGAACCCATTTTACGATTTTCTAGGACGGTTCCAGAACGTAGTGAGAACTAGTTTGATGTGATAAGGGCTTATACTACTGTTCATTGATGCTCGACAAGGTCACGTTGTAACACGTTCCTAGTAGGATCGAAGTACGGCAATTCCGTTCATAATACGACAATTAGTCCGTTCGTAGTACGTCCATCTCATTTTAAGTACGTTGCGAATCCGACTAATTGCAGGACGGGGGAAATTTTGAACAGGCTCAAAGTTCTAGAGCACTTTCCCGTCCTAGCGAGGCCGAGCCCGTCCATGAAGTCCTTAAACAAAAACAGTTGCTACTACGTTCAACTCCGTTGGCACACAGTTTGAGCCCGTTTGGCAACACTTTCGAGAAAGTATTGAGAACTAATTTGGTGTGATGGGGGCTTTAGTTGGGAGAATGAGTGCTATAACTTAAATCTTTAAAGGTATAGACCAGGTTTGGAAATGCCCCCCCCCCCCCCCCTCTCTCTCAAAAAATGAAATGGAAGCTCTTATTACCAATCATGTGAAAGAATATGTCTTGACTAATACGTGATGTTACAAATTTTGCCGGAAACCGCAAAATAGATAGATATCACCCACGTGTCCGTGCACGTGTCGCGTAGTCCCATGTACATCTTTCTGCATGTGTATACAGTGCTTGTAACTTTACCAAGACTGGGCCAAATTTCTTATCGTTTTGATGATTCCAGAACCTTGCAGTACACAAAGCGATCAACCTTTTCTGATCGATTCCACAACGTTTCTTTCACAATCAATCGCATTTACCTTGAACTTGCCCTCACCTTACAGTGTCAAATAATAGTGGCGATAAAATCGAATTTATTGAGGGAAGCGTCGTCAGCGTTTATAGGCTGTAGTGCTCGTGCTTACCTCCCTTGTATTTTTTTCCTGCTAATTCTGCTTCCTTCCCCCTCTGAAGATTCTTGCAAATGATCCATATCGGCAAAAAGTACCCCAAAATGTTATCTTAATTCATTGTTTATCTCTTTCCCTGACTTTCTCTCTGTGTAATATACGTCCTTGCTTTCTCTCTCTCTCTCTGCGCAATTTCTACCCTTTCTGTCTGTCTATCCCATCCGCTTTCTTTCTTACTTTTTATCTTTCTTTCTTTTTATCTCTCTTTCTTTTTATCTCTCTTTCTTTTTATCTCTCTCTCTCTCTCTTTCTTTTATCTCTCTCTCTCTTTCTTATCGTTCTTTTTTTATATAGTCTTGAAGTGAACTCACTGGAAACGCTGCTTTGTACGGCGATCAGGGAAGGTTCCTACACGGAATGGGACTACCTATGGTCATTGTATATGGATCCTAGATCTAGTACGACTCAGACAAAGATGTGGATAACCGCTCTGGCCTGTACGATACGTCCTTGGCAGATACAAAGGTACTGTACTTTGAACCTTAAACCTTGAAGTGATTATCCCTATTCAATAGCCCCTTGAAGCTTTCCCGTTATGATCATAAAATAATAAAATAATAATAATGATTATAATGCACTTTATATTATGAACCAGGAAAACATAAAAATAATACAGAAGAGGTATCAAAAGAAGAAATATTCCTAATTGTTACGGGTAGAGAATTTCACAGAGCACGAGCTGATGAATTAAAAGATCGGTTTCCATATTTATCCATATTTATCCATATTCACAGGGTGTATACCACCGGAAGATGTGATGATGATGATTGAAGAGTACGTACTGGACTGGAGTGTGTTTATGAAAAATTTAAATAGAACACGTTACTTTACAGGCAACCAGTAGAGTTTGTTAAGAATAGGTGTAATGGAGTCTCTTGAACAAGCACCCAATATCAACCTGTTTCTATGTTTTTGGTTTCTCGTAAACCCGGTTTAATTATTTTTTTATTGGAAGCTTGATAGAAAGAGTTACCATGATCTGCATGTGACATACTTACATCATGATGGTAAAATGGTGCGTGTTGTTGAGACGTGCCAAAGTGAAGGCGATTAAAAAAATAATCTACATCACGATCTGTTTGATTGAGATCAACCCAATCGTGTGAGCTTACACCAAAATGGCACGATTCCTCACGAGCTTCTGCTCTTCAAATCTGCACACCAGACGCGACGTAAAACGGCACCCATATCATCTATATTCTATAAGATAAGGCAACAGCCCATAAGACCGACCACCTACTAGACCGACAGCCCATGAGACCGACAATTTCTATCTTCCCTTATATATGCCTTTATTGTCTCGGTCTCGTGCGCTGTCGGTCTCGTGGATCTGTTTTGTTTACGTATCTTCTGTTTTCATAGTTTCAAACGCAATCTTTGCTTTGTCCTTCTGGTGAGTTGGTCGACAGGGATTACCCCCTAAAACATAGTGCAAATTTGAACATCATATACGCTCTGCACCATGGACAATGTCTGACGAACAAAGGTGAAAAAGTGAACCACAGGAGAAACAAAATAGTGTACAACTGACAGGCTGCAGTATGTTAATAGTTAAAGGAACCTTTAAAAATATCAAATGTTGGTCCCATAATGTTGGTCCCACTGTAGTGTTATAAATGGACATGTATATCGGTTTGGGTACAGATTTGAACATTAACTGTCCATGTGTCAAGTCATAGTCGTAATTGTCATTTGAGAACGACGATTATACTTTCATCGTAAAAACTGTGTTTTGAAGTCTGAATAAGGCTCAACAGAAATGCGACTCTCGCTTTAGGTAAAAAATAGAGTATAACATGTAAGGAGGACTATAAAATATACGCGACTTTAAACTTAACTTGTATCCTTTTTGACGGTGATATATTCATCTCTGTTTTCTTGTCTTAATTCGTCTCATTTCATCGTACCATATAACGCGATTAGTATCCAATTTTTACAGACTGATCGAGTACCCGATGCAAAACCCAATGACAGCACGTCAGATCGGTTTCGTCCTCACCAAAGTTTCGATAACTCCTGTCGGCCGGACGTTGGCATGGGACTACATCCGGCAGAACTGGGATGCAATACAGGACATGTAAGTTCATTTTCCTCTATCTGTCTTGACCATACTGATGATGACGATGATGACGACAGCCACTGCTTGTAGCAAAATTGAAGACCACGATGATGATGGTGATGATGATGATGATGATGATAAGTCTTTTTCTACAGTCGCCACATCGCAGGCAAAGTGTGAATCACACCAGATTCTTATAGGCCATCTTATAAAATCTGATAAATGGACTTTTTGCTTTTTTATTCAGAGTAGCCAAGAACGTAATTAAAATGAAGATATGTGAAGGCTATCCTAAAAGCACTCATATACTTAAGACCCAAACATCGATAAAACAATGATTTTTTAAAAATTTTATTACAACGGCTTACTAGCGTCATGAAGAATATTTCCCCTTCTTGTTCATTGTATTTGCAGGTACGGAGGGGCATATAGGTGGATAATACTCCTTTTGTCCACAACCAGTGACTTTAATACTAAAGCACAACTCGAAGAGGTAGGTGGAAATAAACATAACCTGTTGATATTTAAGTTCTTGAAATTTGGTTGAAAGCTTTTAGAAGTTGTTTGGACAAAGTATTTATACTGTCATTAGGATTGAGAAGGAATAGCTGGATTCAATACAAGAGTATTAAAATCTAGTACCGGTATTCCCATGGACCTACTAAGTCCTTGGTATTCCTCTGTGAGGCTCTTTCGCATCGTCCAAGTTCACTTCGCGAAGTCACACTCGGTCACGTATAGCACATAACCATTACGAAGAAAAAATAGTAATGCACAAATGTGACATGTAAAATTGTTTCAAACTTATTTTCAAAATCGCCTCTACATTAATATTAAGAAGTTCATTATGTTTTGTTCTTCATTACAGCTGATAGCCTTCGCCAATTCGAGGGATCTAGGATTCGGCACTACTGCAATCCATCGCTCTATTGCTCTTACTCAACTCAACATAGAACTTTTCGATTCCATCTATCCACAAGTACGGGCCTGGTTGGAAGCCTATGATCAGACCCACTGAATTCTACGTCTACAATATATTTGTTTTTTGTTTGTTCCTTCTCTCTCTCTCTCTCTCCTTGAGGAGCCAATATTTACTTTGAATATAATTATTGACATACAGAAAAAGACCCCCAAAATACAACATTAAAATACACAGAAGAAGCAGACCCCTGTTACATCGAATCCAAACTTGTAACTCGGGGCGCCATGAGATAGGTATCGGTAACGTTTTATTTTGGTGTAAACGCACCAAAGGTCTTTGGAACCGCTTTTGTGCAAGTCTGGCCCTCTGGTCCGTCTTGTGATATGGACCAAGGCCCGTGTTTCACCGAAATATTTGTGCAAGGGGTCTTAGATCCAATGTTAAAAATAATGATTCTGCTTCACGTACTCTCTTAAAAAGTTTTACCCGATGTGGTTGTAAATATGTGTGAATAAACCTGGGCCCCGTCTTATAAAGAGGTGCGATCGACTCGAATGAAAAAAAAAAATGAAAAATCGCAAGTCCTCTAAGTTTGCAGTTCCTTATCTTTTACGTATAATGGTTGCGATTTTCGCAACTGTTTATAAGACGGGGACCTCGACTCTAATGTCGCATTTCACCATGGTTCGTTATGTTTGATAAGAATCAACAAGTGAACAATGCTCTCTTGATTATTAGTCTTCTATTCGAATGCAAATTTAATTATTGTTTAAATCTTCGGAATCATGTAATTGTTTTTTAAAAAAAGCTATAAACTGATTGCACTTCCATCGGATTTTGATGATATCAACTTAAGTGAATCGGTTAGCTAACCACAAACCGATTCTTTTCCCTCTGTGCTGTTATGTGTTTTAAAATCATCATAATGTATAAGAATATTTATATTTGGGGATCCCGGCACAATTCTTGTGCTTGAAGGGAATTTCGCCTCTTTCCTCCACTTTCGTAAATTTGATAATATATATATTTATATATTTATATATATATATATATATATATGTACACGCACGCACACACCCATCCCCTCATACGCAAGCTTGTTTGTATGTATGTATATTACCAGTATTATCATTTTGTTAAAGTAAACATTAAGCTAAATTAATCTACCATCACTAAATGCGTTAGAAGTTTGCAATATTTGACAACCAAAGATTTGAAAGTTATTCGAAATTTAAATCGTGTTTTGGCACAGCTTGTTAAAATAGAAATGTTGATCTTTTATGTACTTTTTAAAGTTCGAAGGTTGTTGCGTCTCGTTGATTCAACAATTATTATTAAAAAAACATTGCAGCAGAAGTATATTTCGTTATATTCTTTTGTCTCCTAGCTTTTAAGGAAGAGGTATAGGTTTCAGATTTGCATTGTAAAACAGGGAGGAAACAATGAGAAAGAGAGAGAGATAGATAGAGAGAAGAGAAAGAGAGAGAGAGAGAAGACAAAGAGAGGAGGAAGGAATTTATGGTTTGTTTTTTGTATTTTTTTTAATTTAAAATTAAATCAAATAAATAATGTACCTACAATCATTTCAAACAGTGGTGAAGTTGAAAAGGGCGGAACAGCGATATTTCAGATCACTAAAAAACAAACAGAGAGAGAGAGTGAGTAAAACATCTCTTTTCTTTATCTTTATTGCAGTTAAATTATCACCTACAACCTCTCACACTTCTTTCCTCTGACCAGCTCTATCCGAAAATCACCCCTTTGTTCAATCCATATACAAAAGACTAATCAGCTCAAAAATGAGTGACTATTGTGAGATGCTAACTTGATACGAAAATCCAGATTCGAAGTAAAATCGTGGTCACTCTAAAAAACAAAAAGGGTAAAATTTCACCTAACGTTGAGTAGGATGCATGCATGCATGTAAAAATTTACTCAAGAATGGTTTGGGTAAAATTTACCAAACCGTTTTTGAGTAAAGCTAATAGAAGGTGGTATGGGAAACAATACAAGTACAGTTGTCACTTACCAATGTAGGCATCTTTGGCATCCTTTTTCCTCTACGTATAAGATCGGGAACACTTCGGATAAGAGGATTCACTCGAAGTCTCCAATATTAAAAGATAAGGCAAGGGTTCGCCTTCAGAACTGTGTACTATGCTGAGGGGGTTTACCTCAGACAGAAAGCTAACAACGTTAAACTGACTGGTCAGTCATTCTTGATCGTTGTAGTACGGTATCATTTTGGAGAGATGATAACATTAAGAGAGATCATGAGCTGCCTGAAAGAGCGTAGCTAGGTCTGAATAGATTTGAATTCATAATCAAGTGCCTGATGATTGCCATTCAAGCTCACTCACTATACCACTGTTTTTTTTCCCGAGCAAGGAAACCGGTTTGATAACAATTTTGTCTATATTATCTCATCATCTATTTACGCTGTATCCAAGATACATGTATTTATGATCCACCTGTATACCAGTGGGCCAATCGTATGACGTAAAAACGTAGACGTCATCCGAAGGGGACCAGGGTTTACTCATTCTGAAGAGTCATATTTCTGAAAGTTAAAAAAATGGTTAATTATTCTCAACATTTGATGCATTATCTTGAAGGTTCTATATTCTGAAAATGATATACGGCTTATAATTGCCAAAATTCAAAACGTTCTTAATTACGAAACGAAAGAGGTACGTAATTCGAAAAAATGCAATAGGGTTCATAATTTTGAAAACTAGTTAAGAAACTGTCACATGTCACTGAGATTGATGTATTAAGCAGACTGAGATATGATGATTATGGATGTAATGGGTTCAAAATGAAAGTTCGAAGGGGTCTATGTTGGTGCATGACTTATATTGAAAGTCAAAAGTTATCGGATAGAATCCTATTATAAGTAAACATATGGCTCCGAATAGTTTCATTGGACAACGCCCCCTATCGTCAGAGTCCAGCAGCCTAACATGTTAGCCTACTGAATTTTACCCCAAAAAATCGTTTAAAAAAAGCACATCCACCCCGACGTACGTTGACACTAGCTCTTTCATTGGAACCCTCATGTCCCATTGACTTTTGAAAGTTCACCACCGTAATTTGGTCAAAATAGGTCGCTAGCTCGCCATTGCCTATATAACACATGTGAAACAAGTCGAACTTTGGACGCAATTTGACACGTGATTGTAAGGTTATAGGTCAAGTACACGAAGGATAACAAGCATGAATTATCATAGATCAGTTCTGATCGGTTCATTATGTCCATTTCAGCCAACCCCCAACCGTAATTTTTCCATTTAGTACAGGCAAGCAATTTGGCAAGTTAAGCAAAAACATGAATATTCATTATCGCCATGGACTATTCGATTATTTACAGAGTGGTGCAATTGTGCACCACATCAAACTCCCCTACTTTAAGTCAAGTATTTCATTGTATTATGTAGTTTGGTAGGTTTATTTTAATAACTGTTTAATTATCAGATACCAATGATAGTTTAAAGATATGGAAAATGTTCTTGTATTTTATATTTAGCAAAGCAATCTCACATACAAATTCACTACCAAGTGTCGTCTTAATAATCCGCCGTTTGCCGTCTGCTATATAAGTCCAGCGAGCGAAAATGAGACAACCGGAGCAATATGATAGATCTAATGGAAAATATTGATGATTTGTATTCCTAACGACACAAACTACCATTTTCTATCACGTTCTAAAGCCTACGGCATGTTGAGCTTGTTCAACAACATTATTCTGTTTACTTATTTTTTTACAATTTCCTTCTATAGACAGAACGGTTTTTCATGCCAAAGGTCCTGTCTTCGTATAAAGGTTGATGTCATCGACACGAACAGTCGTAGACCATTTTCATGGTCTCGTTATGGTCATACACCGGCGCAGTGGCGTAGGTCCTATTGTTCGGGGGGGGGGTGATATTCTATTCATTCACGAACGAACGGTAGGTAATAAGGTATGATCTACCCCACTGCATGCACGTACTTTTCTTTACAGCATATTCCAAGGTGCATTCTCGTAAAAGAGAAGAACAAATCTTAGTAAATAACAATTTTATAACGTTGAAAGTTTATCATCGTGTGCAAAATTATTGTACAGAGTGAGTCAAAAGAAAGGAAACTGATATTTAAGCCACAATATCTTAAAAAGCAAGTGGAATCGCTGAAATATATTGAAATTGTATGACGATGGATAATGTCGTCTATAATTCGATAGGCTGTTCACCAAAATGTGACCATGGATGCTTGATGACTATTCTGCATGCACAGACTCTAATTTGACACTTTATCACAACACATTTAGCATTGAGCAGAGTCTAGCTCAATCAGCCTCTTTCTGTATCAAGAGCAGCTAAAGTACAGAGCATACACAGTGTGCTGTTAGCATAGTCTCACGTAGCAGACACTGTTACGCACAGCGACTGTCAATGGTTTGTTGTGTCTGCAGACTAATTGATTACACTGACCATTAAACAGATTGTCTAGACCACCTTTAAGCAAGTTTTCGATGAAAGGGTGTCAAGAATTTAACCATTCAACCAAACAAGTCCCATGATTGACCATCCCTTTCATTCAAACCTTGCATGAGCAGAGGCATTTGAACCATGAAAAGAACAACTCTTTAGCTATTCGTGGACATGTTTTATTGATTAATATGCCCATGTCATTATAAAATAGAATGTAATAGGCTATATTGGTTAAAACTGACGATCTTTAACTAAATAATCCTATTGTACTGATTGTGAAGATATTCAGTTTCAGATTTGAATATCATGGATTTCCTTTTTTTGTCTATCCTTTTTTACTCATGTTGTAGACTTTTTCTACATGAGGTGGGCGTCTCTGCACAATAGGAAAATCAAATATTTGTTCTGATCGACTCCTTATGTTGTAAATGCAAATTATCGGGATATAAGAAAGGGTCGAATTCCCTTCTGCCATCCATTTCGTACTCCCTAGTTTGTTGATGAAGTGTTGAGGATTGAGGATCGGTCAAAATGCCGGGTTTTACAGAGAAACAGACGTTCAACATCCAGGAAGATCAGAAAGATGACGAGATTCATCTGTCACAGAATAAGGTCATCATGATTGGTGCCCTGATTGCCGCCATAATCACTGGGGTCGGTCTCATCTGCTTCTACGTTCCCGACAGAAGCTGCGGGGATGACATCATCGTCGTTCCTACCTCCGATCCTCAAAAGGGAAAAACAACCCCTAGAGCTACGACAGAGGGCAGCGAGTCTACTACACCAACAGCCAGCCCGTCTGGACCATGGCCTGGTCGACTAACAACTGCCGTGATGCCAGAGTCGTATGAACTCTTCCTCAAACCCTACATCTACGATGACGACGTGCCTTCAGGAAAAGCAAGATTCACCTTCGACGGAAACGTCACTATCCGTGTCCGATGCTACAACGCTACCAATCGCATCACTCTTCATGCTGTGGATATCAATATCACTACCATCACGGTCTTCATGATGGGCGACACCGACGATATGTATCAAGGGCTTACGGAGGAAAAGGAGTACGAATTCATCCACATTGAGC